CAGGAGTCTCCTGTGGCTATCCTCGCCTCAAACAAGCATGCTGTTTTGGAAAATACAGGGGGTGAGGGGCTCTGAGGGGAATGTAGCACTGACAGCCAGGTTTCTGGTACTGAGACTGGCTCTAATGTAGTGTGGGGTAGGTCAGGCTCCAAGTCATCGATTGTGAAAGAGGATTCTAGTCAGAGGCACAAAAAGATGTTTCTGCTGTCAACATGACATCAAAATGGTGCACTGACTCCCTGGTACCAGAATCAAGGATATCACGGTGAGGGTGCAGAATATTCTCAAAGGGAAGAGAGTGACCAGCAGGAGGTCGTTGTACTCATTGGAACTAGTGACATAGGAAGAAGAGAAAAGGACGAGGTTCTGAGGACAGAATGTACAAAATTAGGCAAGAAGTTAAAAAGTAAGTGCGAAGGTAATAATATCTGGATTATTCTTGGTGTCATGAGCTAGTGAGAGTAGGACTAGGAGGATACAGCAGATGATTAGTGGCTGAGTAGCTGCTGCAGGGGAGAAGGATTCACATTTTTGGATCATAAGAACCTCTTCTGAGGCAGGAGTGACCTGTGTGAGCATGGATTGGACCTATTTTGGATGGGGACCAATGTACTAGCTGGGAAATTTGCTACATCTGCTTGAGAAGATTTAAACCAGGGGGTGACAGTTGGGACCCAAGGTAATAATGAGAAAAGAGATCAGTCTGAGATTGGTGCAGCTGGGAAAAGGAGCAAGTCGAACAGTCAGGGCAGGCAGGAACAAACCAGAGAACGAGGTAGGAGTGATAAATTAGACTGCATTTATTTCAATACAAGAGGCCTGACAAGTAAGGCAAATGAACTCAGGACATGGTTAGGAGCATGGGACTGGGATATCATAGATCAGGGAGGGACAGGACTGGCAGCTTAATGTTCCAAGGTATAGATGCTATAGGAAAGTTAGGAAGGGGGGCAAGAGAGGGGTGGGTGGCATTTTTGATTAAGCATAACATTACAACTGTACTTAGGAGGATATACTCCTGGGAATACATCAAGGGAAATTATTTGGGTGGAACGGAGAAATAAGAAAAGGGATGATCACCTTATTAGGAATGTATTTTAGACCACCACTATCTCCACCTCCCCCTCCCAAAGTCAGCAGGAAATTTAGAAACATTCATAAAGAGACCTCAGTTATCTGTAAGAATTACAGGGTGGTTATGGTAGGGGATTTCAAATTTCTAAACACAGACTGAGACTAAAGTATAAGAGCTTGGATGGAGAGGAATTTGTTAAATGTACAGGAAAATTTCCTGATTCAGTATGTGGATGTAACTACTGCAGAAGTGCAGAACGCGACCTACTCTTGGGAAATGAAGGCAGGGCAGGTGACTGACAGGTCAGTGGGTGAGCACTTTGGGGCCAGTGACCGTAGCTCTATTAGTTCTAAACTACTGATGGAAAAGGATAGACCGGATCTAAAAGTTAAAGTTCTACATTGGAAGAAGGCCAATTTTGATGGTATTAGGCAAGAACTTTCAAAAGTTGACTGGGAGTGGAAATTTGCAGATAAAGAGACAGCTGGAAAAAGGCAAGCCTTCAAAAATGAGATCACAAGAGTCCAGAGACAGGATTTTCCTGTCAGGGTGAAGGGCAAGGCTGGTAGGTACAGGGATTGCTGGATGACTAGAGAAATTGAGGTTTTAGTCAAGAAAAAAAAGTATACATCAGGTATAGACCGCAAGGATCAAGTGAATCCCTAGAAAAGTATAAAGGCAGTAGGAGTCTACTTAAGAGGGATATCAGGAGGACAAAAAGAGGACACGAGATCACTTTGGCAAGTAGGGTTCAGGAGAATCCAAAGAGGTTCTACAAATATATTAAGGACAAAAGGACAACTTGGGAGAGAATGAGGTCATTTAAAGATCAGCAAGACCGTCTATGTGTGGAACTGCAGGAAATGGGAGGTTGGCTAAGACAGATGTGGATCCAATACAGACAGACTGAAATCAGAATGATATACAAGAGGGAATACAGAAATGGCAGAGAAGCTAAGCGATTACTTTGGGTCTGTCTTTGCTCAGACTGAATGGACTAGGCAGAATGAGGAACTGAGTTAGTATTAGGAGGAAAAGTGTTTTGGAGAAATCATTGGGACCTGATAATCTGCATTCTAGAATACTGAAAGCTTGACTCTGGAGATAGTGGATGCATAAGTAACATTCCTTCAAAATTCTATCTTCTGAAATGTTCCTGCAGATCTGAAGATAGCAAATGTCAGCACACTATTTAAGAAGAACTGGGAGCAACAGACATATTAGCCTAACATCAGAAGTTGGGAAGATGCAGAAATATATTAGGAAGGTTCTGATTAAAAATTTGTAAATTGGAAAGCATGTCTGATGAACCTGTTAGAGTTCTTGGAGGAAGTTACAATCAGAATTGATAAAGGAGAGTTGGTGGATGTTAAAGACTTGAATTTTTAGCAAGTTTTTGGTAAACCCCTACTGGTTAAAGAAAAAGCACGTAGAAGGATGCAGATCAGAAGGCTGGGCAGAACATTAGACAAAAAAGCTGAACTAAAAGATTAATGGGGGCAAAATCTGAATGAGACAAAGCCAGCTCAAAATATATAAAAACAAGTAATAAGAACTTCTATTGATATTTGAAAGAGTTAATCATTCCTATTGAAAGCAATTCTAGGGAAATAATGATGGAAAATAAGAGATGTCAGATGAATTGAACAAGAACAACATTTGTCTTCACCACAAGATCCGGCATTTATTACTTGTCCCTAGTCACCCTCAAGGTGATAGTGAGCTGCCTTTGTGAACCGCTGCAGTCCACATGCCGTAGTTTGACCCATAACGCTCTTAGCGTGGGAATTTCAGGATTTTGACCCAACAACAGTGAAGGAATAGTGATATATTTCTAAGTCATAATGAGGAGCGGCTTGGAGGGAAAGCTGCGGGTGGTAGTGTTCTCCTAAGTGGGCTGACAAGTCTGAAACATCTTCATAAAGGTTGTATAAGTGTCTGGTGAGATAATTAACATTGGCTTTAATGTTCCAAAATTCCCTAGATTCAGGAAAAATTTGTTTCCGTTGGAAAGTAGCAAATATAACTTCTATTCAAAAAAATGAGACAAAGCAGGAAACTACTTGCCAGTTAGCATAAATCTCTCTCATAGGGAGGGGTCAGTTAGCTAGATGGTTCATTTGCAACGCAGAGTGATGACAACAGCATGGGTGCAATTCCCATACTGCCTGAGGTTGCCACAAAGGTACCACCTTCTCAACCTCAGCCCTCGCTTGAAGTGTGGTGACCCTCAAGTTAAACCATCACCAGTCACCTGTCTAATGATGGCCTGCTAGGACGATTGCAACTTTACCATGACCTCATAGGGAGGAAGAAACTATTCTTCAACACGTTTATGACCTCAGCTGATGGCTTTTGAACAAATCAATTAAATCTTGTCCAATAAAACAAAAAAAACAAATTTAATAAGTGATCCACTACTGAAACATAACTATTCAATGCTACAGATTTGGTTTTAGCAATAAAACAGAAGTTTATTATACAAAAATGTGAAAAATAGAACTAAACTATTTACATATAATACAAGATTTTAAACACACCGTAAACTACAATCCCATTAATTCCAACAGCAGTCTTTTGTTCCTTTACTCACAGCCAAGAGAATTCCCTTCCCTATCCCAAATAGTTTGATTGAACACATGCTTCAGTTCCTGGCCCTGAAAATCTGACAGCCTCTTTCTTGGGTCTTCACAAAGGAGGTTAGACTTTCCTCAGTGTCATATCATCCCTTAAAACAAACACTTCTCATCTGGAACGTTTAAACCAGACTCCTTACACCAAGGTGACTTATTTCTCAACAGCTCCGAACTATCTCCCTTTCAGAGGAGCAATTGTTTTACACAGTCAGCTTCAGCCAAGCTTTTTACAAACTCACCAAACTGAAAACCAAAAACTTTTTTCCAATCCATAGGCATTTCCCCTAATCAGGAGAAAAAACATCCTTCTCTGACCTTCTGAAGTGAAAACCTAATGCACAAGTGTTTGTTTTATTCACTCGTTTAAAACTCTGAACACATTCCCATTTTTGGCTCTAAGAACATACTCGCAGTCAGGCTATTCTTTTGAAAAAGAAATCATGTCTAAGAGATACAAGTTAATGATTAAATCCCTTTTGGAGGGGCACACCTATACCCACATACCACTAGCTCAAATCCAAACTTGAAAATAAACGATACTAAAACATAGACAAATCACACACTGTACCAGGCTGCTTCAAGTTCAAGATAATCATACAGTGGCAACATGATTTGGACAGGTTCATTTGGATTGGGGGGCGGGGTTTCCTTTTCAGGGAGCATTCAGAATGAAGAATTACTGTTTCAAAATAAAGGGTGCCCACTGAAGATAGAGGTGAGGAGAATTTCCTTCTCAGATTTAGGATCTCTTCAACCCTCTTGTCCAACATGAACAAACCAACATAAATAACTCTGTTATTTGTTGGATTTTGCTGCACAGATTTTCCAAAATGGCATTTTTCTCTGTGACTGAATTAATAAAACGGTTCATGTAAAATGTTTTGAGGAATCTGACAGGTTTGCCTTCGTTTCGTCTAATCACAAAGCAAAATTGGAAAACGTGAAACAGCTGGAAGTACAATAAACAGGACACCAGAAATTCTTCAGCTCTTTCAAATACTTAAGACATTAACAGAGTAATTACATGATGAACAAAGGTCCCCAAAAACAGAAACGTAAAAGAATAGACATGAAGAAGTTGTTCACAATTTAGCCCTTTGTGCATTTTTTGACATTTCATCAACTAATTGGTCACCCAACTTGTTAGAATTTTTATTCTTTCAGACAGTGACTAACCAAATATTTGTTTTCATAAATCTTTAACTCGTACATTGGCTAATGAAAATAGAAAATTTTTACAATTTGTGTTTCATCAAAGCACATGATTCTTACATTAAGCATTTCCTTACCTGTACAGGGGGGGTTCCATCATTGCTGTACCTAAACTCTCCTTCATCTCCACAACTAACTTGTTCATAATCCTCCAACATTTTCACAGTCATGCCTGTTTTTAAATTCTCCTGTATATATTCCACATAACTGCTCCGGCTGGCAAAGTTTGAACGGGTTTTGTAAGTCGTTACTGTTTTTTTCCGCGGCTGTGATATCAGTAAGTTACTGGCAACCACGTTCCGTGGCTGAAATATTGATTTAATGTTCCTAGGCAGTTCTTCTCCTGCTGACCCCACCATAAAATCAGGTTCTTTGTTCCGGTCCCAGCCCATGACGCGAACTAATTCGGAAATCAGATTGGCCATCGCCATGGTGACTTCAAACTCTCGGAGCAGCCGAGCTTGTTCTGGCACATGTGAGGCAGTGCAGTCCTGGCGCTCTCCACTTAGATCTTGCCCACTGTTATTCAACTTGTCCATTAGGGAGGTGACACACAGATAGCGTTTTACCAAAGAAAATAAGAGTTTCCCTGGTATCTAAAAGAACAAAGAACAAACAATGAATTACACCACATCTGGAAAATAAGGTTTGGAGTTCAGCATTATCAGATCAGAAAGTGGAGTTGAATGCTATCAGCCATGATCTCATTAAATGTAGGTTAAGTGGCCTACTTCTGCTCTTGTACTTTATCATGGAACTTAGCCCATGATGCATTTTTGGCCTTTTAGTCATTGTTCAGTTCATTGTATCAAATAGTCAAAAGAACACAAATACATTTTAAAATGAATTTAACAGCAACCGTTAGTAGAAACATTAGGAGAGTTGGCCAAAACAAAAATTAGTCCAAGAAACAAAAAGGTCATAAAGGAAGAAGCTGTGATGGTGATATGGAGGCATAGGAGAGAATTTCAGAGGGCGAAAGAGGACACCAGACGAATAGAAATCAATGTTGGTGCAGAGTCAAGGAATGGAGAGTTTTCCACATTAGGAGGAAAAAGCAAAGCCATGAAAGGACTTAATGTGAGATGCCAAACAATTCAGTGCTAATGGAAGTCATCTAGCACAGGGGCAAGAGGAGTAAGAACATGACACCAGACAGGATATGGTCTCAGAACTTTCACTGAGCTGAAGCTTACAGAGGATGTAAGATGTAAAACATGCAAGGGGAAGCTTGGAATATTTAAACCTACAGCTAACCAAGATATGGGTGAGGGTTTCAGCACCAGATAGGCCAAGGCAGGTAGAGGCAAATGATGTTTTAAGCAAGAAGGTTTTCTGTGTTGGAGAGGAATAATCTGGCAACTCAAAATCAGGATTAAAAAGGATATTAAGGCTTTAACAGTTTGCTTCAGTCTGAAAGAGTCACCAGGGAGGGAATGGAGTCAGTTTCAAGGATGTTTTCAATATTGCAAAGTAACAGGGCTTACTCCAGACTGGATAATGGGCATACAGCCTGGCAAAACTGCAGAGTGGTGAGCATGCTGTTGGCACACAGTGGACACAGACTCTGCGACTGTGATGCTGCCACAGAGTGGCAAGTAAATAAGGAAAAAGTCAAACTGAGAAAAGATCTTTGGGGAATCAGGAGAATAGTGAATGGCACAGCAAATGAAAATATTCTTGTAAATATTTTCAGTACAAATGGTACCAAAGGCAATCTTTCACTATCCTTCACTAAGTGGACAACGGGAACAGGCAGTGAATGAGGATGATATAGTCAACCATGGTAAATGTTACAGAGGTGATGAGGAGGGATAATGTTACACAGAATAAGGTTACACAGGAAGTAATTTGGTGACTTTGCTTAGACTAGTTCAAATACAGATATTGTCAAAAAAAATTACCCATTTCAAAATGAAATCAGTCCTGTCATCTCCCATACCTTCTGCCATTTCAGACATTACAATAGGACTACGTGGTAAAAATAATTCATTGGTTGGAAGGCAGCTGCAAAGAGCATTCCACAATGATATTAAACAAGCTGGCTTTTCCTTGTCATATTATCCTTTATTTCGGGCAAGTGCAAAATAGAAATTAATTTCTTTCAGGAATGCTTTAATTGGAATATTGGGGAATAGAAGATAATGGAGGATCAATTACCTGAGGGAGGTGAATTCCTTCAAATGAAATTCCATGTTCTTCAGAAGAAGTGGTTTCTGCAAACAATTCCAGCAAGGTGTAACGATTGTCAAAGTCCATGTGCTGTTCAATCCCATCCTGCTGGCTCAGTGAGAGGAGAACGTACGCCCGGCTACCTACAACAGAACACAGCATTATTAAACAGAGTAAGAACCACTATGTTTATAAACTATTAAATTCTTGTTTTGCCAATACAAAAGTAAACCTCAATAATTAAGTACAAACAACACCAGCCATGAAAACTGTACAGAACAGTGCAAGTCTTTTAGATGCCAGGCTTATATCAGAGATTTGAACAGAAAATGCATGAAATACACAGCATATCAGCATAATATCAGAACTCTTGCGATTAAACCCTCATCAGAAGTGAAGAAAGATAGAAAAAGTATTCTTAAGGTTACAGAAATAGAAAAAGAAAGAAGCAGGGATCGGGGGTGGGTGGAGAGAACCAGAATAAATAGATAACTTAATAATAAACAGGGCCAAATACTCTCAAAACTGAATTACAATGCATTAGGTTAGCCATTTTTCAATCTGTTGATATGCACAAACTGCGTTGAATTCAGTACAATAAACCAGGAACCATGAGAGCAGATCAGAGCTGACATTTGACTGCAGTTGACCCTCCACCAAATCCCACCCCTTTTTGTCTTCTCTGGCCACCCATGCAAGGTGAACAAACAAGAACTTCAGCTGGATCATAAAAAGAAGGAATCACTGCACAGTAAGGCATTCAGCCATCCAACATAACCTCTATTTTCAGCTTTTGGTCCATAACTCTGTTGGTTACAGCATTCAATCGTTAACATCCAACAAAGTTGCTGCCTTTTTTAAATTCACAGACTGTGGATATCACAGGCTAAGTCAGCATTTATTCCCACTCCAATTGCCCGAGACGGTGCTGGTGAGTTGCATTCTTGAACCACTGCAGTCCATTTAGCAAAGGTACACTCACAATGCTGTTAGGGAGAGCGCGCCAGGATTTTGACCCAATGACACTTAAGGAATGGCAATATATTTCCAAATCAGGGCAGCGAGGTGTTAGGGAAACTTGCAGGCAGCAGCGTCCCCATGCATCTGCTGTGGTAGAAGTCACAGGTTTGGAAGGCACTGTCTAAAGTGGCTAGGTTACTGCAGTGCATCTTGTAGATGGTTCACACTGCTACCTCTGTACGTCATAGAATCGCAGAACTACTGTGGGGCTCTCTGAGCCTTTTAATTTGAGTTTTTGTATTTTTTTTTTCTTGTTTACCTTTCAGCTCTGTTAAATCTTTTAATTCTGGCTTTTGTAACCAAGTGGGTGCCAGTGAATGCCGACTTTGCACACTTCGCTGCACTTTGTATTCCTATACTTAGCATATATGACAAATAAATAAATCTAAATCTATTGTATTCCACAACTACTATACACAAAGGCACGTCCAAAATGATCTTCATAAAAGATGTAGAAACAGAAGCACAGTCCACCTGCCATGCAAGATTCAACAAAACTTTAGTACTGCATCTTCAGCTCGTTTTACACTTCAACCTGTGTGTATGTTTATTGTACCATTTTGCTCTCGTGTCAAGGATCCTGCAAAACCTTAGACGCAAAAGCTTTTTAAACTTGTGTCATGTTCCTGCCTTTGCCCTGCAAACGTGCACAATGGGTGATGATTTAACTGGAAACAATGCCCTATTAAATGTCTCAATGGAACCTGCTTCTACCACACTTCCAAGCAGTACATACCAGACACCAAGTACCCTCTGTGCAAAGAAATATTTGTCTTGCAATGCACTTTAACATTGTGCCTTCTGGATCTCAATCCATTTTTGAAAATGGTACGTTGGCAGTCATGGTGAGAAAATTCATGTACAGAAGCAGGGATGCTTTGTTGCATTTGTATAGGGCTTTGAAGAAACCACACCTGCACAGTTTTGGTCTCCTTATCACAGGATGGAGGTTCTGGCTGTGGAGGCAGTTCAGCAAAGGTTTAGCAGACTGATTTCTGGCTCAATACTAATTCCAATATTGCTTGCTCCCTTGTTGCATCCAGGACTTACTGCTATAAGAAACTATCCTGGACACACTCCAGAAATTCACCACCTTTCTGATAGGTGTTTGCCGGCCTCTCCCAATCAATGTTCAAGTTAAAATCCACATTGATACTACTCCAGCTTTGCTACACACTTGCCTAATTTCTGCATTTATACAATATAGCACTTCAGAATTGCTAATGGCAGTCTGTATACAAAAACTGTTACAGTTTTAGATCTTTAACTGTTCTTCAGATCCACCCATAAAGTCTCCAGCTAATGTTGTGTCTTCATTATATACTCCCACATCACTGAAGTAATTTTATTTCTAATCAGTAAGACTACACCTCCTTTGCTATTTTTCCAGTCCATCCAATAAACTTTACAACCTGGTATAGTTAGCTCCCAATGTGGAACCTGCAGCCATGTCTCAGCAATAGCTACTGTACCATAATCTCCAATTTAAATTTGTGCCTGCAGGTCATTTCGTTTATTCCTTATAATCCATGCAGTTAGTCGTATATAGACCTCTTTTTGGGCCATAAACTAACCCATCCCTCAACAATTTTCAATAGTTTACATTAAACTACACCCAATAAGCTTGAACATCATTGATGCTTTAGTGGTACAAGTGAAAGTTATTAATGACCTTAATTGCTAATAAATTTTGACCTCTGAAAGATGAGTAAAATGCTCATTAATCTATCACTATCCACTTCTCCATGGCAGCAACTTTTCCAAACGTGGCTGTGTGAAATTTCACACAGCTGATCGCTAGCTGAACTCTGTCCCCTCTCATACAGCTTTTCACCTCCCGTTCTGCTGATGACTGACAATGCTAGAAAAAGGAGCTCCCCTTCCCTCCTCCTCCTCACTAAACTCCACACCTCCTGCATTTATACTGAGATTAGAAAGCTTTCTTAAAACTATACAAATAGACTAAGTCAGTTACTTCATTAACTAATTTCATTTGTTCCCAATCAGACAGCTCAGCTATCCATGCCCAAGCCTCAAAGAAATTTAAAAATAGCAAATTTCAGTTAAATTTCAATTGTGGGTATGACAGATTGGAGAAAAAAAAATTAACGCTCAAGGTTCACTCCTTTACTGACCAAACTCCTAGGTTTACATGTTGTCACAGGCTATACTGTATAACAAGGATCCAATTATATGAAGGAGGCCAAGAGTGAAAGTTTCTGAAGATGTAAAAATGAGCAAAGAGGCACAACTTTTATGTTTTATTCATTCATGGGACATGCACATCGCTGAATGGGTCAGTATTTATTGCTGTCCCTAGTTGCCCTTGAGAACGTGGTGGTGAGCTGCCTTCTTGAACCACTGCAGTCCATGAGCAATAAATAAACTGGACTAAGTCTCTTTTAAGGTGGCAGTTTCTATTTGCTCTTCTTCAAAGTTTAATACAAGGTAAGGACTTTTGCATCAAAGTACTCGTTCCATATGCATTTTTTTCCTTTTAAGTAAAGTCTTGTACAAAAGTAAAAATATTGACCCTTCTTTAGCCACCTCATAACAGACACTCAAGCAGTTAAATTATTATCCATACTGCCAATTATGGGTCCATGCTTTAATAGCTGCTCCATAGTTTGCAAGTCAAACTCAACTGCCACACCGTAATTGTCTACTGTCACTAGAGTTTAAACAGCCATGATGGGACAGGTTTGCCACCTCTGTCCTAGACAGCTACCTATTCAACATATGCTGAGTCACAGGGTGGACACAAGACTATGGCATAACAAGAAAGGATAGAGAGGCCAATTGTAGCATCAATACCACTACCCCATTTAACATCATTAGGACACCTCAACTAGAAAATATTCATCAAGATCTTACTGGTCTGTATAACCCATTCATGAGAGTAGATAGCAGCACTGCAGTACTGTCACTGGACCAGAGGCCCAAGCTAATACTCTACGGACACTAACAGTTGGTGGATTTTCAATGCAATTAGACCATTTAAACATATGAGCAAGGTACAAGAATAGTCTATTCGGCCTCTTGAGCTAAATAAATCTGGACTATACAGTTAGTCTCAGTAAAGTGACCATGAAACAGTCATCAATTGTCAAGATAAATCAGCAGAAACCAGACGTCTGGAGAAGAAACGTCTTTTTGCTCTGCAATGAAAATCTCAAGCCTGAAGAAAGCCAGTTTGTTCCCCATCATCCCTCAGCACTTGCTGCAGATTGTGGCTGGAGTAAACCAGAGACTTTTGCAAGTGTAAACCAGCCACTCTGCACTTTCGGCAAGCAAGTGCATAGTGATTGTAGCAAGGTCAGCCAGGTCCCTGGATGAGGCTGTTAACCTGGTCCAATCAGGGAGCCCTGACAGGCAGATAAAAACAGGAGTGTCAGAAGTTCTGTTCACCGAGTGCTGGCTCTGAGGTACCTGGACCAGTGTCAAGGACTCTCCATTTGGAAATAAAGAGTGGCTTGATGATGGGATACCAGCCTCTGTGGAGTTATTTCAAGCCGGGGGGGGGGGTAAGAAAATCAAGAAGCAACAAGCTAAAACGTATCAAAAAGTCAAAAGGACCATCGCAGCAGAGCCAGTGAACAGGGACCACTGAACTGCCTTCCCAATCTTTCCCTTAGCTCACAAACTTTTTTTTCTTGTACACATGTGTAGGGAGAGGCTTTATAAGGGAGTTAAAGTGTTAACTACTACAGTTATACACCAGCAGCTCATCTGTAGGTAGAATCTATTTGTTTATAATTTATTTAAGTACAATAACCTAGTTTGTCCTGTCAATCTGGGTCTAAGAGACAAGTAAATTGGAGAATTCCACATTTTGTTTTAAGTTTTTAACTTCTGTGGTGAATACAGGATTAGGGAGGCTTAATTTTCAACCCTACCTCCGTGAAGCATAATAATAGGTAGATAAAGCGGTAGAGAAGGCAGAAGGGAAGTTTTCCCTCATTCGGTGGGGTGTTGAATACAAAAGCAGAGACAAAATCCTGAAACAACAGAAGACAGCTGGGTGTTTTGGGTACAGTTCTGGTCACATCATAGGAAGGACATAATTGCTTTAGAGAGAGTACAGAAACAATTACAAGAATGTTACCAGGACTTGAAAATCGCA